TGGGCACTTAATAAATATGGAAATAACACCACCAGACACAACAGATTCATCATAAGGTGTATAAAGTTCTGCCTTACTCATAATTATTTTTGGTATGGTAATACATACTATTCACAAAGGAAAGGAGTTGCTATGGGCGCTAAATTCGCCCCTAGCATCGCTAATCTTTATATGGCAAAATGGGAAGATGAATCAGTGTTCAAAAATAAGAACCCAGGAATAAAAATATACAAAAGGTATATTGATGACCTCTTGGTGATATATGGAGTGGAGAAAAGGTAGAACTTGAGAAATTTTATAACGATTTAAATATGAATGAAGCCAATATAAAACTGAGCTATGACATACATGAAACTTCTATTAATTTTTTAGACATTCAAATCTACAAAGAGGGATTACAATTGTATACCAAGAATCATTTCAAATCTGTTGATAGAAACTCATATATCCCCATAGATAGCTGCCATCATAAAGCGTGGCTAAGCAATATCCCTAGAGGCCAATTTATTAGATTAAAAAGGAACTGTACAAACATGAAAGACTATGTAGAACAAAGTGGAATAATATCAGAAAGATTTATTGATAAAGGATATAAGAAAGAAATAATACAAAAAGAAAGGGAGCAAATAGGCCTTATGGACCGTAATGTATTAATAGCAGACAAACATAAAGAGAATACTGAAAAGGAGGAATTGGCGGTAGTGTTGAGTTATAATACCCAGTATAAATCAATACAAAACATAATAAAGAAACATTGGAAGATCTTAGCATTAGATAAGCACCTGAAAAATAATATTCCCACAATACCTAGGTTTATATATACAAAAGCTCCAAATATTAGGGACAAAGTGGTGAAGAGTATAATAGCACCACCTGTTAAACATCAACAAATTAGTTTTTTTCAAGGAAAAGGGTTTTATACCTGTGGTAGATGCTATAGTTGCATCAGACTGAAAAATAACCCCAGGAGAAGATTTACATTTCAGAACCCCCTAAATGAAAAGGAATACACCATCCAGCAATTTATATCATGTGATACAAGAGGGGTTATCTATGCCCTCAAATGCCCATGTAATCTCATCTACATTGGACGCACGAAAAGGATGTTAAGGGAAAGAATAAAAGAACATGTATATAATATAAACAGAGGATACAAGTATCACCACTTATCGCAGCATTTCAAAAAATACCACAATAAAGATGCAAGAAAATTAGAGTTCTGGGGTGTAGAAAAACATGTACAACACTGGAGGGGAGATAACCTGATAAGGGAAATTAGCAAGAAAGAATCGAAGTGGATCTATGAAATGGGCTGTCTGGCTCCCAATGGGTTAAATAAGGAGTTTGACCTTACATGCTTTATTAGTAACAAATAAGTATAGAAATAGTTCCCAATCTAACTTTGAGGCGTTGAATATATATAGATTGGGGATTGAAGTAATGTATCTGACATGAATTTAGGAATATGTGGAGTGAGTTTAGGGTAGAATTAGAGAATTTATGACTAGCACAAAACGCATGTAAGTTATATCAAGTATCATATCCTCAAGTAATACCTTCTTAAATACAAAACCAAAACCCAGATGTAAAGAAAGATGTAAGTTAAATAATATCTCAAAATTGAAGGAATTAGATAATTAATGACAAATAGGTTACTTGAGAAGTAACATACATGCGTTTTCTATTATTTTTTTTTTTTTTTTATTATCTTTTATTATTTGATTTTTAAAAAAAAATTTTTTTTTTTATTTTATTTTATTGGTTAAATTTATAATTTTGAATTTTATATTTTTAATATTGTATTATTAATAAAAACATGGTTTTAATTTAGCCTAATAGGTATACTTTCAGCAATATAATGTATAGCCAACAGCCACTGTTTAGAAACTGCAGAGCAAGAGACAGATCACAGCTGACCCAGTTAGCAATGTCTGGCAGACAGATATCACGTTATAATTTGAGTAGACACACAGGTGTAAACACTCACCATACATAGAGTTTAAGAAAATCACTGGGAAAATGGCCGCGCCCATTGGGCTCCAGTAAAAAGGCGGCCGAGAGATATAAATAGGAGTATTAGCATAGTCGTGGCATCTAATCATTCCCCCTGATGAAGTCACGTGACCCTGTGACGATACGCGTAGGGGAGGGGCTCTGACGTCACGACATTGCACTGGAGAGGCTCGGTGATCTGAATACAGACACAGGTAGACAGCACTGCAGGAACAGAGGCAGAGCACATTTATGCTGGACTACAATTGTATACTACTGTGCAACTGGCAGCAATAAACCCCCTTTTTGCACAAGGATAAGACACTATGGTCTGTTTGTCTTCCTTTCTCAATTGAACAACACCCTTTGAGCTGATATAAGGAGGACTGGAAAAGGAAACAGCCCCAGGAGGGGAATTGGGAGATCCTCAGAGAGATGGTCAGTATACCCACTCATGAGCAGCTACAGGAGAACAAATATAAATCCACATCCACCTTCTGAGATAATTCAAGAGCATCATTCCATCCCATCTATCCTGGAAGGATAAAAAGTGTATTTGCCTGGATTTATTCAGGCAAATATAGAGGTGAGCACATAGGGAGACCATTAAGCACTCGGCGAGAGGGAACCAAGAATCCACCTGCACATTTATTTTGAAAGACTTTTTTTTTTTTTTTTTTTTTTTTTTTTTTTTTTTTATTGAATATATCATAAGCACGTGCACATAATATATATGTGTTTGCACAATATAAATATAAGGATCACAGTAGAATAGAGGAGTATTTCTGATTTGTATATCACTGTACTTTAATAGGCACTATCACCTTAGGATTATCAGTTATTAATGTCACTTGCATGAAGATTAATATTCACAATGATGTTTTGAGTCACTAGTAATAATTGTTTGATACATGCAGTATCTTGAAAGCTATTCATTAGCACTTTGAAAGTATAAGATATACATATTGGTACATGGGAGCGCGGCACTATCTATTTTGAAAATATTATATATACACTAGCATATGAGTCAGTGCAAGTGCCAGCGAACCTCACGTGAGAAATAAGGACATCTAAAGTCACGAGTTATGTTTTTAGCACCCCCCAACCACCCTCTCATAAGCTGCAAAGCCAGCAGACAGGAGTTTTCAAATTTCAATAAAATAAAGTACATACTTTCATTGCATACAAAGTTGTGTTTATGTGAACATTACTGGGGAGGGGGGTCCATAGCATTTATCAGATTCTTAAAAGGGATCGGTGACTCAAAAAAGGGGAAAAAACACTGATCTAGATGTTAAACGTTAACCAACATGACTGCCAAAAGTATTTACAGTCAGGTCCATAAATATTGGGACATTGACACAATTCTAACATTTTTGGCTCTATACACCACCACAATGGATTTGAAATGAAACGAACAAGATGTGCTTTAACTGCAGACTGTCAGCTTTAATTTGAGGGTATTTACATCCAAATCAGGTGAACGGTGTAGAAATTACAACAGATTGCATATGTGCCTCCCACTTGTTAAGGGACCAAAAGTAATGGGACAATTGGTTTCTCAGCTGTTCCATGGCCAGGTGTGTGTTATTCCCTCATTATCCCAATTACAATGAGCAGATAAAAGGTCCAGAGTTCATTTCAAGTGTGCTATTTGCATTTGGAATCTGTTGCTGTCAACTCTCAAGATGAGATCCAAAAAGCTGTCACTATCAGTGAAGCAAGCCATCATTAGGCTGAAAAAAACAAAACAAACCCATCAGAGAGATAGCAAAAACATTAGGCGTGGCCAAAACAACTGTTTGGAACATTCTTAAAAAGAAGGAACGCACCGGTGAGCTCAGCAACACCAAAAGACCCGGAAGACCACAGAAAACAACTGTGGTGGATGAGTGAAGAATTCTTTCCCTGGTGAAGAAAACACCCTTCACAACAGTTGGCCAGATCAAGAACACTCTCCAGGAGGTAGGTGTATGTGTGTCAAAGTCACCAATCAAGAGAAGACTTCACCAGAGTGAATACAGAGGGTTCACCACAAGATGTAAACCATTGGTGAGCCTCAAAAACAGGAAGGCCAGATTAGAGTTTGCCAAACGACATCTAAAAAAGCCTTCACAGTTCTGGAACAACATCCTATGGACAGATGAGACCGACATCAACTTATACCAGAGTGATGGGAAGAGAAGAGTATGGAGAAGGAAAGGAACTGTTCATGATCCTAAGCATACCACCTCATCCGTGAAGCATGGTGGTGGTAGTGTCATGGCGTGGGCATGTATGGCTGCCAATGGAACTGCTTCTCTTGTATTTAGTGATGATGTGACTGCTGACAGAAGCAGCAGGATGAATTGTGAAGTGTTTCGGGAATATTATCTGCTCATATTCAGCCAAATGCTTCACAACTCATTGGACGCTTCACAGTGCAGATGGACAATGACCCAAAGCAGACTGCAAAAGCAACCAAAGAAGTGGAATGTTATGCAATGGACAAGTCAATCACCTGACCTGAATCCGATTGAGCGTGCATTTCACTTGCTGAAGACAAAACTGAAGGGAAAATGCCCCAAGAACAAGCAGGAACTGAAGACAGTTGCAGTAGAGGCCTGGCAGAGCATCACCAGGGATGAAACCCAGCGTCTGGGGATGTCTATGCGTTCCAGACTTCAGGCTGTAATTGACTGCAAAGGATTTGCAACCAAGTATTAAAAAGTGAAAGTTTGATTTATGATTATTCTGTCCCATTACTTTTGGTCCCTTAACAAGTGGGAGGCACATATGCAAACTGTTGTAATTCCTACACCGTTCACCTGATTTGGATGTAAATATCCTCAAATTAAAGCTGGCAGCCTGCAGTTAAATCACATCTTGTTTGTTTCATTTCAAATCCATTGTGGTGGTGTATAGAGCCAAAAATGTTAGAATTGTGTCGATGTCCCAATATTTATGGACCTGACTGTATAAGAATGCTTTATTTATGAAATTAGGAGTGAAATGAATCAACCTCTTACCAAAGAGTCTTTCACGACCTCACTCTTGTAAAATTCTGAAAGAAACAAACATTTGGTCATAAAGGAAAATTGTGTATAAAAATTCCATGTGCAGCTGTGGTTAAAACAATCATGACACCATGAAATAATCCTGGCCATGCTACCAGAGCCCCCCTTTAAGCAGGTCCTCCACACAACTGCCACCAATGACTTGTTTTAGCTCATGTAAGCTCTGGAGATTGTCATACTGACTTTCCTTCACTACTCAGATAACTGTTGACCCATAACAAAAACCAGAGCTGAGGCCATTAAATATAATGGCCTCTTTCACACGGGGCAGACCCGTCAGCGGATCCGTTTGCTCAGCAGGGGATCCGTCTGCAGATCCTCACTGAGCAAGGAAATGACAGGTCCATGTCCGCAAATACACTCCCCCCCCCCCCATCAACTTCAATGCAAAAACGCAATAGCAATCATATATAAACACTTATCTCCGCATGCCAATCTACTCTTCACTTGCAAGTCCGGAAAGCACTCGTACAGGACCCTTTTTGTAATGGCACTCAATACAATGCGTGTGGTTTGCATCTGTGTGAACCACCTTAATAGGAACATATACGTAGCCAGTCATGTGAATCTGAATTTGAAAAAAATGCATCCAGAATCGCCTATGTGTGAACCTCAGCATTTTGGGATCGCGGCAGAATCGCTGTGATCACCAAACGTAGGTTCAGGAGCCATTACTTTCAATACTTTACTCTGCAAAACGCATCACATGAAGCCTGTCGCCCAAAAGTTGTGTTGCCCCAGGCACTGACAACCCACACTATGGTAACAAAAAAAAAAAAAAAAAAAACTGGCTCATTTTATCATTTTAAGATGGCTCCTAGATTCAAAGTAAATTTGTCAAGCACTGCTGTATGGTAAGCGGAGGGGGCTGCAGTGCAACCAGAGATAGTCGCAGCAGCAGGGCAGTGATTGCAGTGCTGGAGGAAACCTGCTGGAGCAAATGCACATTCATTCACAGAGATCCATGAAGAATTAAAACTTCCAATGCGACAGACAAGACTTGTAGTCAATGGGAAACAAGTACAGTGATTACCAAACTCCTCGTCCATGGATACTTCCTCCTCAACAGACACAGAACTTGAGGAAGAGTCTGGAGAAGCCTGGCAGAGTAGAATAGAGTAGATTATGGGGTCCTTTCACAGAGCGCTCGGTCTGGATCCATTTGTCTGCTATTCAGATGGATCCCACTGAGCCACAATGCATGTCTATGGGTGGGCAGATGTAAAGGGATGTACATCTGCTTACATCAGAGTCTGTTTATGTTGGCAGAAAATAGAGAAAAAAAAAAAAAAGGGAAGGAAAAAGGTCTGTCCCTTTACTCTTTTTGTAGAGATAACGCATGTGAACAGAAGATAACCATTTGCATCTGTTTTTGGGCAAGAAACATTTTTTGTTTATGCTTTTGTCACGTATGACTATTTTTTTCAACAACCCAAAACATGTGAAAAAACAGATTAAAAATCAGATGCAAACTGAAGACCGACAGGCAAATTGATATAACTGGAATCAGTATTCATCAGTCGTTTTCAAAACAACTGATAATGCCTGCATGAAAGGGCCCTAAAAGGGGGGGGGGGGGGGGTTTGGGGGGTAATAACCCTCATCAGGTTTTTGTTTCTCTGGGGGAAATTTTCCTTTACGTCTCGTCCTATTAGCCACAACAGGAAGCGAGAGGAAATCTCTCCAAAGTGAGGGAATCCCTAGTAGTCACCAGAACCGGTGTTCCCACTGGAAGCTTTTACTTCTATAATTGTTCCTGTGACCACTCAAAATTTGAGATTTTCTCTTTCACCAATAATGGTCACCAGGACAAACAGAGAGGGGGGATTTCTGCAAAAAGCAGCAATAAACACCTGACAGGAGTTCTACTTCTCACATTTCTATCCAAAAAAGAAAAAAACTTTTTTTTTTTCAGTTATACTTCAATTCTGGCCAGCAGTTGCATGGCATTGTGGACAAATAGAGGAACCTGGCATTTTTTCCTATCTGCTTTGATTTGGTCACATAAAACATCCTAAAAGATTGTGTACTGTGGAAGCTGTACCCACACAAGACAAGCAGAAGACACAGGACTAGTCCCCAGTATTGCCTGCAGTCTCCCCGCTGCTGTTTCCCCCATTAAAGTAGTAGTAAAGTCTCGGTCATAATTTGTACCTACAGGTGAGCTTCCAATCAGGCTTATCTACAGACACGATGAATATCTCCTAAACATGAACTATTTAGGAGATATTCACACCAGCAATGGTCGATGGCGTCACCCGAGCATGTGCAGTAATACTGTGCATCCAGGATACACAGTCTGCCACTGAATGAAGAGTGCTGTTGCGGCTCCCATGCTCATATGCAGGAGTAACGTCATCGCGGCCCCGGCCACTCAAACAGCCGGACTCCACAAACCCAGAAGGAAAACTGGGTGAAGATGGAACCGCCGGGGGAACCGTGGCCGCTGCGCTGGAGGGCTCCATGTGCAGCCAAGTGTGTCATAATGTGCTAGTATGCAGTGCATACTAGCACACTATGGAATAAAAGAGCCGGGAACCCAATTTTTTTCTTTGGTGGTTTACTACCGCTTTAACTACCTCCCGTCCGGCCATTGTTTATAAATGGCCGGACAGTGGCACTGCAGGGTCGGGTGGCCATTTATAAACAGCCTCTCCGCCCTCTGCTTGTGCGCGCTCCCTGGGAGCGCGCAGCACCGCGATCCGGTGCCCGCTGTGTCCTCCGGACACAGTGAAACACCAATCAAACGGTGTGAGGTCTGTGCGAGGTCCCAATCATGTGATCAAAGTAGTAAGCGAGATGTTACTTCTGACATCATTGCTTACTACGTGTGAAATCTGTGAATGATCACAGAAGTCACATGGTACAAGGCTATTCACAACAGCCTTGCACCATGTGACAAGCTGTGACCAATCACAGCTCACACAGTAGTTCTCAATGGCTGCAAGAATGCAGCCAGAGAGGAGAAATGATTGCTTTGACAGCCTTTATGGGTGTCAAAGCAATCAGTGTAAAAAAAAAAAATCTTCATCACCAGCCACAAGTAGTACAGTGTCACCATGGTGTCACTGTACTGCTATGGTGACAGTATGTAAAAAAAAAATATAAAAAAAAATAAATAAAATGTAAAAAAAAAAAAAAGTTGAAAAATTATAATTTTTGGTTATAAACTAATTTGGGTTATTTTTTTTTTTTTACTAAAAAGATAAACTGAATACATTTTGGCCAAGATTTATGATGAAATATTATTTATTTGCAAAATTTTATAAGAAACTTTTTTTCAAAATTTTTTGACTTTTTTCATTTACATAGCAAAAAAAAAATAAAGCTTTATTTTGGTGGTATTTATTCACCACTGGGATTTTTATCGGTCTCAAAAAAATGCTAAGAAATTCATATGGGTACAGTGTTGCATGACCGCGCAATTGTCATTCAAAGTGTGATAGCGCTGAAAGCTGAAAATTGGCCTGGACAGGAAGGGGGTAAAAGTGTCCGGACTGGAAGTGGTTAAGGACTCACCACGCCTTGTTCTGCACTGTGTCTGCGTGGAGGCAGTCATTTGGGAAAAAAAAAAAAAAAAAAAAAAAAGTACTTCTACATGTTAGAGCTGCCCCTCACCCTAGTGATAAGTGGGAGAATATTCAAGAAGCAGGGGTAAAAGTGTAGAAGTCACAGGACCACAGAATGGATGAAGCCAAATCAGGGAGATGCAAGTCTTCCTGTGCAGCCTCTCTAGCAACAGTGGTGATCACAGTAACAACATTGTCACCAAATCTCACATGAATAGGAGTCAAAAGCAGCAGTGTCTTATATCTCACACAGCAGGTACAGCCATGAGGCTCCAAAACAAGAGTGTCTAGGCACAGGAAACATGTTGCTATTCCTTAGGAAGAATTCAAGATAAAAAAAGGCGGCTTTTCAGGGTATTCATTGAGGCAGCCATAGGCGGATCGAATCTTGCCCAGTTCAGCACCGACCAGCCAAGATTTGAACTATATGGACAGGCTGGTTGCACTGAAGTCAATCCACCGATCGACTTCAGTACAACCAGCCTGGTGGATTTTTTTTTCTTGCAATCACTACCGACGGTGACCATTGTATTCTGCTGGCCAGGAAGGTTCAGTACTGCCAGAATGAAATGGATCTGCAGGAAAAAAAGCAATTTTCTTTCCTGCAACCACAGGTTGGAAAAATGTGTGATGTATGGTTTGCCTTAATCACAATTAAAGAATTAGGTTCATCTTTAAGGGCCCTCTGCTTCCCTTTGTACCAAATTGTATTGTAACTGTAATGGCTACTTTCATTTTGTAAAGCGCTGCGCAAACTGTTGGCGCTATATAAATCCTGAATAATACTAATATTTTAAAAAATATGTAAAATGTATGTATGTATATATATATATATATATATATATATATATATATATATATATATATTATTATTTATTTATTTATTAATACTAATAATAAATGCACATCTTTTTGCAAGGTAAAAAAATAAAATGAATTTTTTTTAACCATGAGTATGAAAAGCAGTGCACCATGATCAGCAGATCAAGAGTGCAATGCAAGGCTCTTGCTGACTGTCCTTGTTTGTGAAACGTACAGACAGGCAGTTACAGAATAACAGGAAGATGAATGAACTACCTAGAGTTCTCAACAGCTCCCTGGTAATTCATTGAGAACTACAAGCCATCAGCCGCAAAAGCTGTCGGTAGTTGAAGTTCTCACATTTACAGAACTCTGTGAATGAATGATGCAGCAGGGTGGGAGGAGCCCTGCACAGCCACATGTGGTTTTTTGGTTTTGTTTTTTAAATTGTGACAGCGAATGCGGGGAGAAGATCCCCCTCTCTCTGTCCAATGGGGGATGGGAGGGCTACTGCATCTGTAACATGTTACACCCTGAATGAGAGGGAACATATCTTTTAACTGCTCTCTTTAACAGCAGGTTCACTTTTGGGTAAATTTTAACTATACCATCTGGTTACTGGGTTACATTTCAGATGTAAATGATTTGCAACTAAAAAAAAAAAAAAAAAAAAAAACACCTCCTTTGCAGACTCATTGTATGACAAAGCCAGTAAGGAACAGAAGTATTTGAACACCCTGCGATTTTGCAAGTTTTCCCACTTAGAAATCATGGAGGGGTCTGAAATTCACATTGTAGGTACATTCCCACTCTGAGAGACAGAATTTAAAAACAAATTCAGGAAATCACATTGTATGATTTGTAAAGAATTTATTTGTCTTGCACTGCTGAACAGAAGTATTTGAACACCTAAGAAACAGCAAGAATTCTGGCTCTCAAAGACCTGTTACTGTGCCTTTAAAAAGCCCACCTCTACTCCACTCATTAATCTAACTTAGTAGCACCTGTCTGAGCTCTTTAAAGACACCTGTCCACCCCACAGTCAGTCAGACTCCAACTACTACCATGGGCAAGACCAAAGAGCTGTCAAAAGACACGGAGACAAAATTGTGGACTTCCACAAGGCTGGAAAGGGCTACGGGCAATTGCCAAGCAGCTTGGTGAAAATAGATCAATCAACTGTTGGAGCAATTGTTAGAAAATGGTAGAGGCTAAAGACGACTGTCAGTCTCCCTCGGACTGGGGCTCCATGCAAGATCTCACCTCTCTGATAAGAAAGAAAGGTGAGGAATCAGCCCAGAACTACAAGGGAGGAGCTGGTCAATGACATGAAGAGAACTGGGACCACAGTTTCAAAGGTCACTGTCGGCAGAACACTACGCCGCCATTGTTTCAAATCATGCATTGCACGGAAGGTTCCCCTGCTCAAGTCATCACATGTCCAGGCCCGTCTGAAGTTTGCCAATGACCATCTGGATGATCCAGAGGAGGCATGGGAGAAAGTCATGTGGTCAGATGAGACCAAAGTAGAACTTTTTGGTCTAAACTTCACTCGTCATGTTTGGAGGAAAAAGAAGGATGACTTGCATCCCAAGAACACCATCCCTACTGTGAAGCATGGGGGTGGTAACATCATGCTTTGGGGGTGCTTTTCTGCGAAGGGGACAGGAAGACTGCACTGTATTAAGGAGAGGATGAATGGGGCCATTTATTGTGAGATTTTGAGCAACAATCTCCTTCCCTCAGTCAGAGCATTGAAGATGGGTCGTGGCTGGGTCTTCCAACATGACAACGACCCGAAGCACACAGCCAGGATAACCAAGGAGTGGCTCCGTAAGAAGCATATCAAGGTTCTGGAGTGGCCTAGCCAGTCTCCAGACCTAAATCCAATAGAACATCTTTGGAAGGAGCTGAAACTCCGTGCTGCTCAGCGACAGCCCCGAAACCTGACAGATCTAGAGGAGATCTGTGTGGAGGAGTGGGCCAAAATCCCTGTTGCAGTGCAAACCTGGTCAAGGACTACGGGAAACGTCTGACCTCTGTAATTGCAAACAAAGTCTTCTGTACCAAATATTAACACTGATTTTCTCAGGTGTTCAAATACTTCTGTTCAGCCGTGCAAGACAAATACATTCTTTACAAATCATACAATGTGATTTCCTGAATTGTTTTTTTTTTTTTTTTTAATTCTGTCTCTCAGAGTGGGAATGCACCTACAATGTGAATTTCAGACCCCTCCATGATTTCTAAGTGGGAGAACTTGCAAAATCGCAGGGTGTTCAAATGCTTCTGTTCCTCACTGTACATCATTAGAAGGTGAGCACAGTCTATCTCCTTTTTTCATCCAACATTCTGTTTTTATTTTTTCTTTGGATGAGCCAAATATTTAATCCAAGTACATGAAAGAAGACTTGTATCCCAGTTAGGTGACTCAGGAACTAATCTTGAGTAGTTTTAGCTTGCCTACCTTTGTAAATGTTTGAGTCATTGCACAAGTGTAGAGTGAAGTATGTGTCCAACAGACGGTAGCCATTCTTGCTGACGATGTTTCTTGCTGCAATACTCCGCAGGTGACGAAGACGTCTCTGGAAATGTCAAAAGATCAGCAAATTAATAATAAAAAAAGGCTAATATATAGTAGTAAGGATATAAGAGCAGATAAACATTAAGACATTGGATACCAGCAGCTCAGGTGACAGTTTATGTCTACAGGACAGTTACAAGTATCTTTTAAGTGAATCTTAACCCGAGAACAAAAATAAATAGTTTACCTAAATCGCTACTTTATTTTTTGTTTCTCTTTTGCAGGCGAAGAACATTCCTTGCAAGTACAGATAAACATCTATTGGTGCTGCTAGCAATCCAGTGAGCTTGAAACCTCCTCTGCACCGAAGTGAAATTAAATTATCCATGCCTAGTTCACCTCTGGACTACAGAATACCACTTGTTATAGAGAAGTGTTCTGTAGTGCCAACACACTTCCTGTCCCAGAGTGACAACTCTGCTCCTCCAGTATGGCGAGTGTTGTCACCCTAGGACAGGAGGTATGTTAATCGGCAGGGTCACTAGGTGAAAATAAAAAAAGGGGGGGGAAAAAAAAAACCCGCAGCCCCACACAAAATATTAAAATACACTAAAATCAATAAAAAACACTAAACAAGATGCTTATTCTCCAAAAATAAAAATGTGGAGGTTTAGGGAGGCGGCTGAGAGCAACAGAAGGGACCTGAGTTAAGAATATATTCTGGAATAGATTTTTTTTTTAATCCAGAGTTAAGTATCATTTTAAATTTCCGCCGTAGACACACTTTAAAGTGGATGGAAAAGTAGGGGTTTTTTTCCCCTTAACCACTGCAGCTCCGGACGATTCACCCCCCTTCCTGACCAGGCCATTTTTTGTGATACGGCTCTGCAGCATTTTAACTGACAATTGCACGGTCATGCAACGCTGCACCCAAATAAAATTTGTCTGTTTTTTTTTCCCCCCCACAAATAGTACTTTCGGTGGTATTTAATCACCTGTGTTTTTTATTTTTTGCGCTAGAACACAAAAAAAAAAAAAAAGATAATTTTGAAAAATATATTTTTCACTTTTTTCTATAAAACAAATCCAATAAAAAAAAATTAAAAAAAAAAAAAATTTCTTCATAAATTTTAGGCCAAAATGTATTCTGTTACATATCTGTGCTAAAAAAAAGAAAAAAAAAAGAAAAAAAAAAAAAGGCCAGTAAGTGCATATTAATTGGCTTACGGCTACAAATGGCGGTATATATACACACCGGAATTTGTTTTTGTTTTTTTTTCAAATACTAGTAATGGCGGCCAGAGACTTATAGTGGGACTGCGGTGGGCATTCTGACACCAATACAGTGATCAGTGTTTAAAAAAAAAAAAAAAACCCAGGCTGTATTACTGACCGGGCACTTTTACCCCCTTCCTGCCCAGGCCAATTTTCAGCTTTCAGGTCCATCACACTTTGAATGACAATTGCTAAACAACCAAAAAATAAATAAATACGTTTTGCTTAGTTTCTATTATAAAATTTTGCAAACAGGTAATTTTTTTTTTTCACTGATGAGGCTACACTGATAGGCACAGATTGGCACTTTTGAGACTGCACTGATAATCAGGGCACTGATTATCAGTGTAGATGTTTCCTTTCAGACTTGCCGGGTATCGGCAGCACTTTGCCCACGCTTTCCTGACGGCAAAATAAAAATATTGCAGCTAACATATGTTCCCACATACAAATACTAATATACAAAAAATGCAGTGCAATATTATAAAAAAAATATTAATATGCATAAATCTTGCTCTGTGACAAATTTATTTGAGACTGCTAAAAACGTATGGCTTTAAATACAATACCGCACACTTCCTCATAATAGCATGCGTTATCTGAATTCTATCCACTGTGCGTTTATCTAATAGTATCTCAATATAAATCTTGATGAACCGTCCCTTTAAGACTCAATGCTCCAAGTGCTAATGTGCAATTTCTTCTCTGTATATATTCTTCCAGTGATATCGTGTGACCCCCCCAGTGGTAGATCCACCTCCGACACACTTATGCGCTCGCCTTGTGGTTTGACCCGAACAGCCAGGTTAAACCGCGCCTTTCCCTTTAACCTGGGTGGGTATACCGGTGTGTAAAATAAATAAATGTGAGCGCACAAAGAGGATGATAGCAGCTGTGCACAAGGTAACCAAAAAAAACCTTCTAAAGACAGTATACAATTGATGTGCAGCGCTAAAATAATAAAATGAGTAGGTATATATAAAAATACTTATTAAGAGTGTAAATCACAGATATAATCTCGAATGGCATATAAAAGTTCATAAAGTGACTTGAAGTGCTCAAATATTCCTCTATCTTCCTGAAGACGAATATTGTGCATACAGGTGTGTAAGGAATGCGCACTCACCAGAACACCCAAATTAATGAGCGTTTATATATTATATCCTGATGTCATGTAATGGTCATCACACGGCAAGGCAGGAATCCAGTAAACTCCCTCTTGTGGTCCTGGGACTCAGTGGTAGGACATCAGGGTGGTCCAGAGTTCCCCTTAAGGGATAGATGGGTGCAGCTCCCAAGATATTATGGAGGCTCCCTCTCTGATGGTCAGGTGGTGGGTAGCTGTAAATTAATACTCCCCAGGGGAGTCAAGGCAAAAAACATATCCATAGTGTAGTATTTCTAGGTATTTATTGAAGAGTATGCGAGTATCCAGGTAAAAAGTATAACTGAACAAGCAGAGCAAATGAAACATAGACTAACCGTCTAGAGTAAAAGATGGCATTTCCTCTCAGACGACGTGCAGGTGTACGAAACGCGTAAGAAGGAGCCAGTAACGCTGTGACGTCACACCGCAGGAGCAATGTGGAGCTCCAGCGGCCATCTTTTACTCTGGACAGTAAGTGTGCATTCCTTACACACCTGTATGCACAATATTTGTCTTCAGGAAGGATACAGGAATATTTGAGCACTTCAAGTCACTTTATGAACTGTTTATATGCCATTCGAGATTATATCTGCAATTTACACTCTCTTAATAATTTATAAGGGTATACTGGTGTATCTCCAACTCCTCCTGCACCTCCAAAACGCACCACTTGGACATTAACCCGAAACGCCAGCTCAAAAGCGCGCCTTTCCCTTTGCTGGTATATATATATCCAACTCCTCCTGCTCCTCCACACTCCAAAACGCACCACAGAAAATGGAAAAAATGCTCCAGATGGCAAAGTATATCAAATCATTGTAAACTTTAGAAAACACTTCAAATCTCCCACTCACATTTATTTGTGTCCTTCTGGGACACTACAGGATCAATATCTCTTTGTATAGTAATTTTGTGAATGAAACTGCATTGGATCCCCTATCCAAGATGGCGGTACATACACTTCCGGTTACGGCTTGACGTCATTGGCGTGCCCTACGTGTTACGTTATGTGACTTCATCAGGAGCAGCCGATTGGACACCAAGCCATGTATTTATTCCCATTCATTGATTGCAATGTGTTAACACCTGTCTCGGCGCCATTTTGTTGGAGACCACCACATGGTCCCGGGCGCCATTTTGCTGTAGTCCTATGCTGTACTAGATGTTACTGCTTGTCCTGACGTACTCAGAAGAGGATCCTGTTCTTGCACCACTCATTTAAAACTTTAAAATTGCCTAAATATGACCTGTTCGATGCTTGAATACTATGGCTGACCTTATACCTAAATAAACACTGTATATACACTGCTCTTTATTGTTGGAGACCGTCACATGGTCTCGGGTGCCATTTTATTGTAGTTCTATGCTGTACTACATGTCACTGCTCGTCCTGACGTATTCACAGGGGAATCCTGTTTTTACACCACCATTTAAAACTTTACAAAACCTTAATATAACCCTCTAGATGTATGATAACATACGGCTAACCTAAATCTCTAATATACTGTATATAAAATATATACATTGCTCTTTACTGGACCAGGAGGAACCTTATAAACTCTTATTAATACTGAATGATCTACTCAATGTGCTGCTATATACTAAACGATGAACTCAATACAACTCCAATATATATTTATGGATACGTGACCTACCAACGCCCACCTATATACCATTCATATGGCAAAAATCCCAATTATCAATCCATCTATTTGCCCTCTTATTCTCAGTTCCCAATATCACTATAATGTACAGAAGGTATATGGATAATATATATCTTACTATTAATGACCCCAATGACTACATAACCATAAATCGACCTCCAATCTCTATCATGTATATGTAAATCCTATGTATATTATGTGTTGAATACTACATATATACTGCTTATTGTATACTGCCAAAAATCCTCTATGAAGCAATTGAGATCAAACTCCACACTTAACCCTTGCAGCACCATTGTCTGAAGTTGGAAAATCCATTTTGATTGTTTTTGACTTAATGTTCTGATTTTATTACTGCCTTTCCAATGCGGTTTGTATTTTTTCAATCCCCCAAAACTGCATTTCTGCCGGGTTCCTATTGTGGTAAATTTCAAAATGTTTCAACAACTTATGTTTGCTGCATCCTTTAATATTGCGAACATGCTCTTGTATTCTTTTTGCCAGTTTACGTTTTGTGCGTCCCACGTACTGTAATCCACAATTACATCTACCACACGGGAAAAAACCCTTTCACATCAAAGAATGTGGTCTTCTCATTGGGTGGGTCTATAATGCTCTTGACTAATCTGCTCCTTAAATGTGGTGCCTTCTTGTATATAAATTTTGGTGCTTTTGGTAAAATATTCATTATCCATTTATCTGCTGCCATGATATTATTATTATTATTATACAGTATTTATAAAGCGCCAATAGTTCGCTCAGCGCTGTACATTACAAAGGGGGACAGAACATGTGACAGAACAATACCAATACAATGCAAAACATGAGGGGATTGAGGGCCCTGCTCTTTCGAGCTTACAATCTAGGAGGGAGGGGATGGTGGTACAGGAGGAGATAGCTGTGGGGGGATGGAGTGGTAGGAAGAGTGGAGGAGGTCGGCAGGTTAGCAGGGGGTGGGGTAGGCTTCCCTGAATAAAT